AGCATCGCGTACTTACCTCACTTTCGAAGATGATAATGAACCGATCACCGGACTTGAGACGGAGAGCATAGCAAACCAGATGCGTCTGCACCAATGACTGCAAGATCACACACCGTGCAAATGTTTCCTTCCTGGCCTGGTACGAACCGGGCGGTGCAGTAAGGACAGGAAATGTCTTTCTGTCCTCTGTAGATCGGGACATAAGTTGACCCGCAGATCACAAACGGGTTTCTGAAGTCGTAGTTGAGCTTGGTTTCATCCGTCATATTGCGTTCAGCGGCTTGAACAACTTGTCTAGCCATCTTGGCCTGGCTCTCCACTGGGTTGGTTTCCAACAGTCTTTTGGCGAAGTTATAAGCAGTGGCGAGGTTCTTTGCCTTGTAGCAGACCCCCATTGCACTAAGCAGCGCGAGCCGTAGGTGAGGTGCTTGGAGGTTGCAGTGAGTGAAGTAAGCAGCGAGCTCCTGCTGCCTCACCGGATCATCTTTCGTCTCTCTTCTCTTAAGCTCCATTTTGAGACCAAGGACGTACTCTTTAACGAGAGTGACCAGTTCCTTAACCTCATCGACTTCTCTTCTTGACTCGACTACCACTAGAGGGATGGTGTGGAGGATAGAGAGGAAGAGACGGAGAGCCTCAGTGAATTTTCCACTCGTTGTGGCTTTGTAGCCAGATTTCAGCTTCTCTTCCAGCTGAGAGAAATCAAAAACAAGAGCTGGTGGGCCACGAACGTTGGGACTGGAAGACTCGCTCCATCCGCGCTCAATGGCAAGTGGAACCACAGGAGATGACGACAAAGCACGCAGATAGCTATGGCTGCCACTGTACAGATCAAGAAACATCGATTTCAAAGGCGCAAAGTTCTTAATGCCAAGCTGTCTGTGGAGCAGACGCATCGCAGTGTCAAAGCTTCCCGCTGCAGCCTGCTCAGCAGCAAGAGAAGATTTCTGGCTCCAGATCTGACTTACTGGCATACCTTGAGTAGGTGTCACAAAGACCGATGTACGTGCGTTGGCAGAGGCCTTAGGAGTGTCAAGCTCTGGTGGGAGCTCCAAGTCATCGAGTACCCCCCATCCACCTTCTTCATCGTTTTCTTCTTCATTCAAAAGGGCTTCGATGTCTCTGTTCTCCATTCCATCAACATCGACCATGTCTAGTTCCTCACCCCAATCGCCTTCAACATCTTCCTCTTCATCAACAGCCCCTCCTCTGCCTGCACTCTCAAGCCCTCCTTCAAATATTCCTCTCATCACTCTTAGAAGAGGCCAATCACCACCACACATGACGGGGGATGGTGGCATTAGAAGCGATGGAGTTTTCCCTTCAGGCAATGAGGGCACGTTGTCTCCTAGCTCAGTCGCCAGTCGCTCAGCAATGTCATTTAAACCGTGAACTGAGGCCGTGATATAGGCTAGAGGCAAATGACCAGCATTCTCCAGTATCTTAACACGCTCTTTAACATCTCCTAGGTAGAGAGCATTGTGAAACTGACCCATTACGTTGTTCTTCACTTCCGCAATCTTCATCAACTTTGAAAGCTTGTCCAAATTACCAGTAATGAGATAAAGAAAAGATAACCTCTCAAAGTTCTTTGTCTGCTGGTATGCAAACTCAACAATTCCGGAATTACCTTGGCGAAGAGCCTCCACCCCAAGTCTATACCAGAGGTCTTTATCATTAATCTGTGTAGCGGATGCAACAGCTACACTGATGTTGCCACTTTCAAGAGCCAGGTTGAATCGGATCCTCTCGTCTTCAACAAAGTGGAGGGCAACTTCAGGAAATCCTTTCTGCTGCAGGTAAGCAATCATAGCCTGCCCACACAACTGGGAATTTCTTATCATGCTCATGACATGGTCGTACTTCTTTCTCAGCAGTGCAAGCTTGAAAACGTACTCAGTAGCATTAATTGTGATAGCCCTGTTTTTCCCATCCCGATCCAAGCAAAAGATTGTATTTCCAGAAACCTTGGTGATATAGATTGGGACATCCAGGGTTCGGATGATTCCACTATCTCCATTCGGAAGGCAGTACTTGATATGATTCAACGTTGTGTAAATGAAGACACCATTGTCGTCCCAAGCTCCACTTTTCACACGTATTGTCTCATGAAGCGTGCACTGGAGGACAAGTTTTTTGCTCGCAATAATGATAGTATGTTTGCTGAGCAATGCAACACTCTCCATATCATTAGACCAAACAACGTACCTAACAAACGGTGTCTGAAGTTCACCAAGAACAAGCCTTTGCTGAAGGTCAAATATAACCACTTTATCCTCAGATCTACACAGCAAATTTCCAGTCCCAGCATAGAAGATAGCATCTGTGGGAATAGGCAGAGAACTCTTTTTAACCACCTCATTCTTTAGATTCTTGACTAGCACCTGGCTGGTGCTTTTCTCAAGAACAGCAAACCGATTGCGGGCAATGAATACCGCAGAACCGCCTGTCCCCCTCTTTGCATCTTGCACAACGTCACTCCTGCCAACGCTATCTTTCGGTATGATGTACAACTCGTAAGAACCACCATCCAGATCTGAGCAGATCAACACTGCATTTTCCGTCGGACTGTAAGATAGAGTCCTCGGACTTTGATTCAAGCTTGGAGTACCAGGGCGCCGTATGGGGATAACTTGGGAATCTTTTTGAGTTGAATATTCATAGTACCTCAAAAATCTATCCTTGGCATAGAACAAAGAATCACCACTTAAAGCAAATGCAGGACGTTCTCTCTCAAGTTTGAACACGATCATGCCGTTGTCATGTCCCGCTGCCAGTAAATTAATCTCAGGGTGAACTGCAAGAATCCAGAATCGATCGTGTTCACGGCGAAAAGTTTGGATTCCAGTTCGCTTGGTAGCATCCCAGACACGAATGCTTTTATCCTCAGAGTTGGATACAATTATGTCCTGTTTTGCATGGAACATAACTGATGAAACGTTATTCATATGGCCTCGCAGTGTATCCACCTCCCAAGCTTTAGTTTCTGCAATAATTTAAAAGAATGCATTATACCTCTGCTCCACCATTACAAAAATTGCAATTTAGTGTATAAATGATGGTTCATAAAATGAAATTTATGTGGAGACAAAAAACGAATATCAGTAGAAGAATTACCATTCATACGCCACAGCTTTACTTGGCGGTCATCTGCACCAGAGACAATGAGGGGAAGGGTGGGATGAAAAGAAGCCCAGTTTACTCCCCTATCATGACCTTCGAGGACATACTTAACTATAGCGTCAACCCCACCAAAAAGGTCAGAGTTCATCTGAGTAAATCGCATGAGGTCATCAGCAGGAGATACTGTCTTCTTCCTAAGAGAACCAATATCCCAGACACGGACAGTCTGATCCAAGGATGCTGATACGACAAGGTCTTCTTTTGGATGGAAAGAAGCACACATAACATAATGATTGTGACCAGTCAACACAGAGATACAAGTCCGTGACTGCCAGTTCCATATGCGGATAGTCTGATCGTCACTAGCACTCACAATCCATGGGTTTTCGTGGTGAAATTGGACAGTGCGGATATAATCAAGATGCCCGAGAAGAGTGAAGAGGCACCTGTGTGTTTTGTAGTTCCAAACTTTAATCTTGTAATCATCACCTGAAACAGAAAATGTTGTCAATGCCATCAACTACATATTAGTAATGTTCTGGAAAAGCATTACGGGACAATTGTAATGGAGACGAATCCAGGCCATTTGCATTTACAGTTTTCAGTTCTTGCATATGTCGAAACCACTACTTGTTATCACAGTTAATATAGCACATATTAGATGTCTCTAAATGGAGCCAAACCAAACCTACAAAAACTTTCAATTCGCTAGCATTCAGCACAAAAGTTAAAACTAAAAATCAAACTGTCTAAAATCATGTAAAACATTGGGATAACTGTAATGTAGAAGAATCCAAGCCATTTGCATTTACAGGTTTTCAATTCTTGCTTATGTCAAAAACACACGACTAAAAATCATTTATCACTACACTACATGCGCTTAAGTCATTCAGTAAACCGAGGCTGGGACAACTCAACCCAGAGATTCTCTGCAAAGACACCAAGCTAGATCTAGAAACCGAATACGCTATAAAGTAATAATAAAGCGAAATGACCTTGGATCATGAAAATTATATTGATATACGCACTTGTACCTCAAATTCTAGATGAAACGTAATGGTCAGAAGAAAGCATATACCTCCCGAGACGAATAGAGGCTGTGAGTTGTGGAAGTGAACACCACGAACAGGTCCTTCGTGCTCGTCAAATCGATCGATCAAAGTACCCATACGATAATCCCAGAGCTGGATCACACCACTGTGCAAACTGGCGAGGATCCATGGTCTTTTGGGGTGGAAGGTCAGGCCCTTAACTCTGTTACTTTTGGTCTCGAACTTGGTCAACATATCCCCAGATCACGAAACAGCAACGGCTCTACGCAAACCAGATCACAGAGATTTTGAATGAAGAAACGAGTCAGTTGACAGAAAACCGAGAACGAAATCGCAAAAGCAAAAAAACCTAATCCAAGCGAAATTGCAAACACCAGATCTAATGGCACCAAATAGTGAGATCCAAAATATTGAAGAGGATGAGAAATGGGGATTCACCTCAGATCAGATCAGATCAGATCAGATCAAAAGGGAAGCGTTCAAGCACAGCTTCACGGTGACGATCAGTAGCATTACCAGAGAAGCGTGGATGCGAGAGAAAGAGAAAGACAACGATGCTAGATTGAGAAAGCGATCGTCGAGAAGAAAAGATGAAGACGACGGTGGCTCTCAGTTTCTTCGAATAGATCTGAATCCCTCCGCTCAGTTTATCTGTTTCCAATTTCTCTCGCTAATTAATTGGAATGAATTTACATTTATATTATTTTTATTTAAGTTTACACGGAAGCATTCATTTTGAGAGTTTATTCCAAGAAAATAAATAAATAAAACTTTGAGTACCGTAATTTGTAATCTTCGAAGGCACGAATCAATTCAAGAGAGATAAGATTATAACGAAATTTAATTGGATAGATGATTTGATAATACATAGAAAAAAAAATTGGAAATAATTATCGGAATTATTCTTGAATTAATTTGAGAATTTCAGTAGCCCTGGACTCGATCCCTTTGAGATACTCAATCAAGACTCGCTGCTGGTACGAGCCTCCTTCCTGGTTCGATCAATATAAAATGGTTACAGAACGAGTAATTTTGGAAAACCGGATTAAACAATGCAATCACCATCTGGTTTAAGCCCAAATTAAACCCGGTTGGCCTCCCCTTCACATTTTCATTATAAGCTGTGAGAACAAGTTACTTACAGTTCGAATGAGCGTGCGCTCGATTCGTTTCTTGATAACGGAAGATAGCTCATCAGGTGCGATTTCACCTTTCCCGATTGTTAACCCGTCTAAGAAAAGCTTGTTCCATTGTTCCTCAGGAGCTGAAACCACACACAAAAGCCAAAAAAGTAAACTCTTGGATCATCTACTACATGGAAAAGAGGTTGCAGATGAGAAGACTCAACGTGCCTTTGATCAGAGTTTCGAGAAAATACTCGGCCTTTACAACTTCGTTCCCTGTGACAACAACCACAAGTTGTAATTGATAGTTTGTGTCTGAGTTTAAACGTGATGTGAATCTGTTTGTAGATAATGTACCTTTCTTTGCGTAGCTACGCTTGGAGAGAATCGTAGCAGCATAGAGTTGAAGAACTTTTTGCAGCATAGCCGCAAGCCCTGGTTTCTCTTTATCTTCTTTTGCCTGAAAGCAACCTCCGGTTTTGAATGCAAACTCCAATTTAAATAGAACTCTTTTGTCTATGACCTATATTTGCAACGATCTTACAAGTAAAATCCATTGCAATTACCTGCCGTAGCTGAGCACTAACTTCTGAAAGAAACCCTTCATCTAATTGCCCTTCTTTTTCCCGTTGTATTATTTCCTGGTAAGACATTGATCACATCAGTTTTCAGGAGATCTGAGGAAGAACATGTCTTGGTCAAAAAAGGAAAGTGAAGAACAACAAGTATACGTTTTCCATTTGATTGATGGCTTCAGGATCTCTTGGAGGCCATGAAATTTCTTCCACTCCTTCCACAACGGGTCTTAATATTCCTTTCAGAACATCAGTAGACGTTTCTATCTTTTCCTACAGGGATATAGTAAAGCAGACACTGAAGAACAAGAAGAGACATGGAACCAATAAAAAAAAAGGATATGTAAAACAACTGAAAACAAACCCGAGTCTTATTCACAACGCAGTCAACTATGCTCATCACGGTTGCAGCTAACTCCTCATAGTCCTTCTGCAAGAAACAAACCGAGCATTAGCGAAAAGAGAGCTCGAGAATCTTCTTAATCATTGACATTAAACAACAGAAAATGCGTGCCTTGTCATCATCTGATTTGCAAGTATCCGACCTGGCCGCGAGTCTTATCCAGAAAACCTCATCAAAAGCAAGGATGTTTTCAACAACAAGCTGCTCAAGCTGGCCAAGGGAAATGGCAGCAACAACAGAAACAAAAAAAATACAATTACTCAAGAGAAGATAACAACAATACATTTCCCCTTTCATTTTCAAAGTGGAATCGGGTTTCAAGGACTAAAAGCAAAAGAAAATTGCACAACTTACTTCTCTTGGGTTTGCATCTTGAAGAGCATCAATCATCCGATCGATTGCAACAGTCTTCTTAAACGCTCCTTCTGCATCCCCCTTGACTGCACAGATCAAATTTCTCCTGTTTTATTAGACCCAAAAGATGCAAAATCATTATCTCATAATACCTAACTACATTACACGGAATCATAGCTCCAAGGGAGAAAGGCTTTGCTGATAATGAGTTAAACAATCGAAATCAAAAACTGTAGTCTAAGGATATTGAATCACCTTCGCAACGAATCCCCTCGAGAAAACTGAGAACGCTTCCACAGACTCGAAGATACTAAAACCCTAGAACCCAATCTCCAAAGCGACCCACTCTGCTTGAGGAATAAAGTCATATTTCTCGAGTCAAAACAAGGTTTTATTCGCTACTCGTGAAGAAATGATAACAGAGAGAGATTAGAGATTTCACCTGCACGAGTTGATGATGATGGGAATCGCAAGAGAATAAGCATTGAACAGAGGATATTGCCGCCATTAAAGCCAAGGCACACTACACAGAGAATTACAAAGCTCCCAAAATTCTGACGACCGTTCAAACTCTCGGGTAACCAAATCCTCGTCGGCCGAATTTTTTTTATTCTTTCTTTCTTTCTATGGCTGTATTATTTGGGCTCACGTGATCTGTTGCCCACAATCGGGCCGTAACAATTACTATTTGAGTCCAATAAGGCACTATTTTATATTATTTTTTTTTGCATGTTCTTCTTCTTTCAAGAAAATGCAAATAATAAAGCTAAACAAATGAAAACCTGAGAAGTCAGTTTGTGTATAAGATTTCTTCAGCTTGATAGATAATATGGACGAACAAAAAGTGTGCTCGATGATGCAGAGCAGCTCCTTGAAATATATGAACTATTTGAATACTACTAAATGTCCTTCATAAGCCCCATACCTCTCACATCTAAAAGAAAGAGCGTCACTAAGAGGAAATAAGAATCTCTTTGAAATCTGTCGTCACAAGTATACATGCATGCTTTAATGATACCAAGAGCTCCTGCAGTTCATGTAATTTAAAATAAATCTTAAATTCTTTTGCCACAAACTGTATGAGCTTTGGACGAGCCCGTTACTTCATCGATCGGCTCTTTTTGTTCTCCCCATTCAGAACAATAACTCTCTTTGTGTTTGATGATGTGCAGCCTCTGCTTCTTACTGTCCACAAGCTGAAAGTTACACAAGAGAAGAGCGGATATTGATACACATGAACCTCTTTGAGTTCCCAAAACACAAAATTCATATAGCTTTGGGGGTAGTCAAATATAGTTTATGAGAAAAGAAATAGATTACATTGTCTTTTATGTTTTGTTTATAAATGTCTTAGCAAATCATCATCATATTGCATAAATTAAAGATGGAAAAATAAAAAAACAAAAAAAAAGCATAAAAATCAGTATCATAATAATACAGCAAGCAAACTTTGTTCAAAGATTTAGCTATGTAATTTTTGTTGACGCAACTCTTGCTCCTGCTTGATTCGCTTATCCATTGCTTCGAATCTCGACGATTTTTTATCACATCGACGCATTTCTAAACTGCTTTGTTGTTTCCTTTTGCAAAGTTGCTTGATTTGCACTAAACTGGGAACGTGAGAGCACACTAACGTCCTCCAACAATAATTCTCTGCAGAACCATCCTCTCCAAGATCCAATTCTCTAAAGTATCCATCCTCTCCAATGATGTTAACTGTGTGACGATGTTTGTCACTTGTTTTATCAAAAACAAAAGCGAGTCTCTTCTCCTCGTCAATGTAGAAATCTGCATGCCTAAATGATATCGGAACGTGGGCGATTGTTTCCATATTTACAGCCAAGAACTTGCTCCACAACACATTTTCGTCCGACTCGATCTTATTCGTAATCCATATATCAACCATAGGTGCTTCGTCGTACTGGAATAAAAGCGCAAGCTTCTCTTCTCTAACACAAGATAGAGTTGCATGTTCACCTTCCACAAGGCCTGGCAGAGGCAGGTCTAGAAGCGGCCCAAATGTCTCTCTTGTAAAATCAAAGCATATTAAGTGAAAGTGTTATTCTCTTACTGGTTCTCTATCATAAGAGATCCAGTAAGTGTTTCCCTTGAGAGAAACACCAAGGTTAGTAGACAATATCTTCCAGTATGGTGAAGTGATATCAAGAGTCTTCCATAAACCAGTGCTAAAATCGTAGATTTCATACCATAAAAACTGATGTCTGGGCCTCGTGGCCATACACAAGTAATCATCTACAAACCTCAAGATTTTGTGGCTACCTAGAGATTTCTTCTTCTTATTCTTATTATTCTTGGAATATCCGAGTGCGTACCTGTATCTGTAAACTCCGTAACAAAATCTGTAAACCTGTATTTTGGATAATTTGTCCCACTTTTTGCATGTTAATCGCACTGCTCTCAGATATCTCAAGGGAATCCTCGAAAATATCTCCTCTGCCATATCTCTCGGAAGCTGGGAATCCTCGAAAATATATATTGTTTCTCACATATACTTTCTATCTATCTACCTCTGTACTGTACTTATGAGAGACCACAATGGAGAAGAACTGAGCACAGATTAATTCAATTTTGTAAAACTTTTTTTTCCTACAAAAGGAGGTTTCGGTGAGAAATTATAGAATTCTATACAAATACTTACCCCTCGTTTTAGTGTGAGCAGACGTATATGCTATGTGTTCCTCTCCTTTTGCCTCATTTTTATAGGACGATAGACCACATTCAAGACAAAAAGACACTACATACAATAAAAAAAAAAAACCCCGAAAGGTACTAAAGGCATTCAAGCCTGCCTTTTCTGGAAAAATATTAGCAAACAAACAGGCTTTCCTTTGACACCTGCAAATTCACATAGAATCGTGTATCAAAATCTTGTTAAAATTTTGTAGTTTGAAGTCATACACATATTAGAGCAAACAAATAGTAAATTGTTATACAAAAGAAGCGAGTTAACCTTGTTGAACTAGAGCACTTTGGATGTTATAGATTCTAGCGATGGTGGATCATAATGAAATTACCTTGAATTGTGCGTATTAGAGAAGATAGACTTGTCCGGGGGTCAAGAGGGAAAGGCGAACAAGCGATCCGAGATTTTGGTGCGGCAGATTGGGCACTCAGAGCAGGCAAGTGAACAACATTTACAAACTGTGTAAACAGAGGAGAGATTTTGTTATTGTCTTAGTGTACTAATAGTTGATGAAGAAAGGATACTCAGGGGAGTGAGACTTACGGCAGAAATGACGGCAAGGGAGGAGAATTGTTGCAATTGGCGACTCGAAACAGACTTTACAGATATGTGAGTTTGCGTCTGCATTGGCCGCTGCAGCCGCCTGCGATTTCATTTCTTTCTCCTTCATCTCTCGCATCCTTGCCTGTTATGTAAAAACCATTACTTGCAGGATAAAAAAAAATTATTTGATTTTTTGAAAGCTTGTATTGTTATGGATGTATTTGAATGTGTCTGATGAATCATGGCTTTTCATTACAAAGTTTAGAAGATCACACACGGGTACCAAATTTCCATAAACCCCAACTAACCACAGAAAGTGTCAATACCCACGAGAGTAACTTGACTTAACAATGCAGTTATCCGGAAAAAAAAATATTGTAGTATAGATATTTAGTACATGATACTTGAGTACCTTTGTCAGGTGATAGGGTAGTTTGGATCAGGTAAAGTTATATCAATATTTAGAAGCATATTTTTATGGGTATTTCCAGGGTATATTTTCTAACCCGATCCAAAGTTCACATAGCATAACTGGTACGCAGAGGGTATATATATATATATGTGACTACTCGTAGACTTTGTAGTAGGCTTATAGACAACTAATAACGCTGAAAGAAAATAGAAGGCAAATTTGCAAAGGTACCTTAAGACGAGCAACGAGGGGTTCCTCTTTTGGCGTCTCTTCATTCTTGGCAACTATCACTTCTTCAGGTGCATTCAAGACTTGTCTCTCTTTCAAAATCGTACTGTTTTGACTCTTGTTCTCTAATTCTGTTGCTTCGTCTCTCATTGCAGGCTCGGTGACGAGAGCTTCGTGACTCTTTGGCCCGGACAAGACCCCATTACTGGCTTTCTTCAACTTGGCAACAAGTACCCACATGTTGGCTAAATCGTTTTCCAGGGCCTCTTCTCTTCTTTTTGATTCTTCTGCCTTTTTCTTATACTCTTCCTCTATGCATTCTCTCTCAGCTAATGTGGCCTCGAGAACTGCTTCTCGCTGTTTCCTAGCCTGTAACTCCATTTTAATATCTTCTTGGTTGAGATTCCATGAGTCTGAGACCCTTGCCTTTCTCCCTGGCCTTGTCCCATTGCGACTTGCCACGCTGTTCAAGGAGTTATTGTTACGTGTCTGAGCCGCCGCCAAGTCTCTTGCAGCTATTAGTTCTTTTTCTAGCTTTGCATTTTGAAGCGAGAGCTTTGTTACTTCATCAGCTAGATTTTTCAGCTCAATAGCAGCTGCGGAGGCCAATTCCTTAGCATACGAAGCTTCTTCAGCTAGTTTTTGATTTTGAACTCGTAATCCACTCTTCTCTTCCACACTCTGCACATGCTCGAGCTTCAACTTTTCATTCTCAACCTCCTGAAGTATAAAAACATCAGGGGTCCAAAAAATATATATGATCTTTTGTGTATGTGTGTGTCACCTCACTACCGGTGCAAAAATTTCTCAGGGATACGTGTGAGACTGTGCGGTGATAAATTTGACAAAAAGGATTTGAGATTTTGATTAATTACCTGAGACTGTACTTTCTTTTTCAGCTCGTCTACATACTCTTCACTTACAGCATTACCAGAACAAGGCAGTGAAGACTTCTGACTCGATTGCTGTTGCTCTAGAAGGCGCACCTTTTCGTGTAATTCATTGTTCTCGATACACTGCAGTTGTTAGAACATGTGTGAAGAAACAAGGATGGCTGAAAATATAAGCCAGAAGACACTGCTATGAAGGAGGTAAAAGAGAAGATATGGATGTGTCAGTGACTTAGAAGTGACCTTTTTCTCTAGTTGTTCTTGGAGGATACGATTATCGGCTGATATGATCTGATCCATAGGTGGAACACAATTAAATATATATTGGCTTTAAGCAATCTTCATTTTCGCTATGAAGCAAGACGTTTCATTCCAGAGAAGACAAATATTTTACCTCCAGCTCAAAGCTCTTCTCATTGCACTGGGTCATCAATCTCATAACTTTCTGGAAACAACAAAATAATTGTGATAAGCTGATCCACATTGTGTCCACCACTGGCTGACTTAACAAAATAAAATCATAATGATGATAGGATGTGGAAATTAAATTACCTGTTGCATCTCAACCGATGATGCATTAGCGATGGAAGCTTCACCACTCTCAGTTATTCGCTGTTCCAAAGACCTCATTTGTCTTTGCTTTTCTTGAATCTCTCTTTCTAGATTCTGGATCTGCATTTAATCTTTATTTAAGTTCCATACTTACAGTTATTGTGGAAATTCTAGTAAAGTTTACAAAATGGTCAGATCATGCATTTTTCTGATTTCTAGGGTCAAAATAAGGTATAGCATTGTCCTACTGGTATATTGA